GAGCAGATAAGCATGGCCCCTGCACAAGGATCACACCGATGGGTCAAATTGTTGCTTGGCGACGTCCTCCTTTAGTATGCAGACTCGCTGCATTGTGGCTTGGAGTTTGGTGCCATGTTCCCAGTGTTGATGATGTCAGTCTGCTTGATGGGTGGCGCTTTTGGTCCGATTCGAGTGCCGAACCATCTGTTGAAAAAAAAGCCTGTTGTGTGTCTGTGAGCGTGTGTGTGTCAAGGCCTTTGCACTCTTCACCGTAAGGCTTAAATGAAGCTGTGAGCTATAGTCCTGGTACAGGGCACCGCATTTCCTCATACAGTAGGTTTGGCCAACCGCCCCAACAGCCGTGGTTACTTTGGCAGTCTGACTTGTTTTTCAGGGCAAGAGTTCGCAGCACAAAGGCTGAGAGGTTGGACTGCATAGGTCAAGACCGTCCACATAAAACTAGCTGGCTAATGCTCCCAGTGAGATCATCTCAAGCTTTTGTACAAGGGTCGCTGGACCCGTTTTACTGCAGGTGAGAAATCCAGGTAACTCTGAGCACGAACTGAAAGCAGATTGCAAACCGAGATAACACCAAATAAGTACAAGCAACGCATTGAAGTCGCATGATAATGAAAGCCCACTTCTCGCCTCCCATCACCAATGTCAATGATGGTGGCCAGCGCCCAGGCTACAGACAGACAACTCCTATGACCTGGACTCCTATCTAACAACAGGTCGCTATGAAAATCGTCAGCCCGGTGAACGCATGAAGACTCCGCATAACCAGCCCGCTCCCCTTTCACTGGGTGAGTGCCTCGTCATATCGCCCCCGTCCCTGACTTTCCTCCACAGTCCCCTCTGCCCAAGGACCTCCGCCTTCCTCCTCCGGCTATGGCTGCAAGCAGCCTGGCTATGGCTGCTGCGCCTACCTGCTTTGTTGGGCCCAGCAGCTTCCTCCCACCCACCTAAAGTTCTTATAACTTGTTTATAGTCCTATAGATCATGGCGTGCGGACTGAAGTAAGGCACGGCCGAAATTTGCAGGCCCGCCTTCCCTTAGGGTGGGTAGGGCTTTTCTCCAGCATGTCGAGGGTTCATTTCTTCTTTGGAATCCCTCCCCCTCTGTTCCGAGAGTCCTGAGAGAAACCTCAAGCTCACTTGATGTTTCCCCTTCAACTTCCTCCCATACGCAGATATAACTTGCAGGGCTGTCTTCATCAACTCCTCTCTATATACCATGAATCTTCCTTGGGATCCGGATGATGCCTGAAAGCGATCCGGAATCTGCATCTGTTGTTTCGGCGGTCTCCTCTACCGACAGGCTTCGCTACAGACATTAATCTGTGTTCTACAATCTAATCAATGTCGACGTATCTATCCATGATTGGGGCCAGCATTGACCTTCTTGGAGGAAACTCCTCAAAAACTCCTCAATCTCAATGAAAGGTTCGAGTTTTGAGGCATGGAAGACAAGATAAGTACGTAGGTGAGGAGCGACTCAGATCACATGTGATGGGCCATCAGGGCCAGCACTCATGATGTCCAGGACATGCCATGGCCCAAAATACTGAGGCATATGTTTGTGCGAGATGTTCACTTCCTGTGAACTCAGAAGACTTTCCCATACCCTCTTTCCTACCTTAGACTCCCGTATGTTTTTCTTCTCAGATGCTGTCATAGCATTTCCTACCTTAGACTCCCGTATGTTTTTGTTCTCAGATGCTGTCATAGCATTTCCTACCTTAGACTCACGTATGTTTTTGTTCTCAGATGCTGTCATAGCATTCTGCGTTTTCTGAATCTGTACGACAGTTTCCTACAGCATCTTCTCATAATCATAGCATATTCGATACTACATGGGCTGCAATCGCCGAACGGTCCATTGTCAGGTAAAACAAATTCTACAGAGTCCTATGCTCCCATCTCAAGTGCAACTGATTAGGAGTCCGGCCTGTAGTACTGTGCACAGCGTTATTGTATAGACTGGCGACGAGAGGCAGTTTCTCATCCCAGTCTTCCTGGCTGGGCTGCACGTAGTGTGTTAGAAGGTGTTGTGCTACCCGCAGTTCATTAGTTCAGCTTTTCCGTTCGTCTCAACATGATTGGCAGATGTCATCTGTAGTTCAGACTCGAACAATTGAGCACTCTCTTTCCACAATTCACGTGTAAAATGCACATCTCTGTCGTTGACTATAGTCTTCTGTAGTCCAAAGTCCCTCACCATGTGATCCATGAACAATTTCATGACAAGMCCTGTCTTCGCGGTTTCGGACACGCACATCTCTGTCGTTGTCGTTGACTATAGTCTTCTGTAGTCCAAAGTCCCTCACCATGTGATCCATGAACAATTTAATGACAAGGCCTGTCTTCGCGGTTTCGGACAACACAACTAACCTAGCGTATTTGGAAAACCTCTCAACTATAACAAAGATATGCCTTTTGGCAGACTTGCTGGTCACGAGAGTATCCAAGAAATCCATCGATAGACTCGCTCTCAGTCCAGCAGGTATAGGCAGAGGCTTGATCAGCCCAAGAGGTGCCTGAGTCTTAGGTTTGCCTCTTTGACAAACCAGGCTCATCTCTACATACTTCTTGGCATCCTCCTGCATCGTTGGCCACGAAAAATGTTGCAGTGCGTTTGCTGAGATCTTTTTGTGGCTAAAATTACCTGTGCGAGGCAAAGGCCTCGATATGCCCTACTGGGCCCCTATTTGCAACAGCGTCGACCGCCCTAAGTGAAGGCAGGCCCGACGGACCCTAAGAAGCCTATTTTGGACTACTTCACAACTGGAGAAAATGCAGGCAGTTGCGCAGCGCCAGTTGGTTGGAAGAGCCCAGGCCCTGATCTCCTTTATCAAATGCATCTGAGTCAGGCCCTGGGCGAGATTCGCAGCATAGGCCCAACTCAGACTGTGGGTAGTTGGGCACAAGTAACTGTCGGTGGCCCTGGGGCCAATTCGTTTGGTCTGAGGCTCAGCCTCCCTGGGCCTACCAGAAGCTTCTGGGCCGAGGCACAGCACAGCCAGGCTGCACGCACGTAGGCTGGCCATTTCCATATAGGAAAGGGCCAGCCCACGCTTTGGGCATTCAGGTGCTGGCTTGCATACTGCGCAAGTGCTGCTGCGCTGAAGCTGGCACGCGCTCACGGGCGAGCTGGAAGGAGCAGGCAGCCATAGCCAAGCTGCGCTGCTGTAGGCTGGGTGTGGCGCAGGGTGGTCCTTGGGTGCATGTGGCATCTGTGTGTTGGGGAACAAGGTTGTGAGTGATGCGAGAGACATACCTGGTGCTGGAAGCGTGCGGCATTGGCCGCTATGTGCTCGTGCTTCGGGAGAGTTGTTGTCGTCATCTTCGACATTGTAATCTAGGCGAGATAGGATCTGCCATCTGTAGTCTGGGCGCCGAACGCCAGATAGGATATCAACATTGGTTCTTCGTTGATGATGATGATGAGACTATTCCAGCATTGTCAATTATGAGCTTCTGGTGTACTCTTATTTGGTGAAACTCGTGATGCAATTCTG